TTCTTAAATTTACAATTTTTTAATAATAATAAAACTCTTTATATTCGATTATTAATGACAATTTTGATAGTCGTTTTGGGACTAAATCAGATGGTTTACAACAAGTTTTGTTATTCTCGCTTCAGATAGAGTAGAACTTAGAATCATATTGATATTTGTGATGGAGTATTATTATAGTGACGATTTCTTGTTGTGAAGAGTGTATTACCTCTTCCAACGACTCTAAAGACAAAATCTTGAGAGTTGGGAGTTCATGAATTAGTATGATATAAGATATTTATTACGTTCCCGCACGGGATTAATTCAATTGTTCAGTAGACAGTATTAGAATAAGATACCAATATTCTAACGTTCACAGCGACACTGTAAGAATTATGTTCAAAATGAACAGATTTTTTGTGGGCATGACCGCATGACGAGTAAAATGACACAAGTGATAAAAACATGTGCTATAAAAAAAATTAAAAATAAGGAAAATTTTTGATAGTCGTCCACTTGGAGACTTCTGAGATTTGTTGACACGCAGATACTCTGATACGCAACAGAGATAACCACCACAGACGCGAAGATTCACGTAGGCCCTACCGCCTCACCGCCTTGCCGCCACCAAATTGGAATCACCGAGTCACTGCGTGCATAAGCAGCCAAAACCCAGGAAATTTTTAGTTTTACACAGCTTTCTAGTTCCTAATGTTAGGCCATTCATCTTAACTTTATTGATACCCAAAAAGTTTGGAACTTTTCCCATTCCCGGGAGTCATGGAAACTCTCTGCTCAAAGCTCGATCTTGGCCACTATTCAATGTCTAAGCCTCTTATTAGACCCACTTCAAAACCATATTTTTCTTCCGGGTTTTCTTGCTTTAATCATGGTAGAAAACCAGGCTCTAGATTGGTAGTTCCCCAAGCTTTGGACAAGAGGAAGTCCACTCCCCGGCTAAAGAATGAAAGCCCCAGTGAAGAAAGTGAAAATTTATTCAAATGGGTTGCTAGGGGAGTGCTTGGATTTGCAGCTGCAGTGTCTGTGTGTTCTAATTTTCCAGTCTTAGCTGAGACTGTCACTGTGGCTTTCCCTGTGTCTCACACTCCTGAGGTGACTTTTCTCTTCATTTCTTCTTTAATTTTAAAATATGAGACTGGTAATTCAATTATTTGTTGATAAAGTTTGTATCTTTTGAGTTGAAATTTTGATGTTTATAGGTGAATACAGTTCAGAGGACACTTGTGGAAGCTTGGGGTTTAATTAGAGAGACTTTTGTTGATCCAACTTTTAATCATCAAGGTAACTGTGTCCATTCCATTTCCCTTTAGTTTTTCTCAGTAATTGTTAAGAATGGAAATATCTGCAGAAAATGGGTTAAACCTTTGTTGTACAAATAATGCTCCAATTGCTCTTGTTCAGTTGTTTGATTTAAGTATTAATGGTGCATTCTGGGAAGAAAAAAAAAAAAGAGTATAAATTAACCTTATTTTGACTCTCCCACTTCAATAGAAATAAGAAAACCAGTTTGAAGTTCTTGTCAGCTATAAAGATACTGGCTACCTAAAATTTTGATGAACCAACTCTGCAGACTGGGATTTGAAACTGCAAGAGACAATGGTTGAGATGTTTCCCTTGCGTTCGGAGGATGCTGCATATAATAAGATTAGGGGAATGCTTTCGACCCTTGGCGATCCCTATACTCGCATCATTAGTCCTAAGGTACGGTTCATGCTATTCTGAGTGGATGGCTGTGATTGTTGTAACTATCTCTTTATATTAACAACAAGGTATGCTTTGCTACCATTGAAGTGATGGGAAGTATTTGCTTTTAATACTTTTGGGGGCAACCTCAGCCAAGCTGATCGAACTGTTGACTTGGTAATCATAAAATTACAAGGCTTTCTTGGTTTAAGCCGGTCAGCTATGGGCAATTTAAGCTAGTTTACTCCTTGTGATTCTTTACCGGTTAGGGTTACAACTCACAAGGTGCGGTTTACCAAATGCACATCTTCAAGTAGTGGCTGCGGGTTTTTCTTGCCACTCAAAAAAAAGTAGTGAAGACATATTTGGATGCTGCATTTTACATGGGTAGTAATGGGTGATTCTTTGGAAATTCCAAATATCTCCCAAGGATCCTTAGTTTTTCTCTTTTATTTCGGTCTTTTTAAAACGAATTATAGAATGATTTAAAATTATAAAAACAAGAATCCAATCACCATATATTGGCATCTGTAGTATGTTCTGCAGTGTGCTTTGTTTCTGCATTTTACATGTTTTATAAAATTATATCTGGTTAGCCTTTCAAATAACTTATCGAATCTTAAACCATTTTCTAGAATGAAATTGATGCTCAAGATTTTCTTTTTGACAATAACAATCTTAAATGCAGGAATACCAAAGTTTTAGGATAGGAAGTGATGGAAATTTACAAGGTGTTGGGCTCTTCATCAGCATTGAACCAAAAAGCGGGCACTTGGTTGGTAACATTTTGTACATGAACTTATTGAATCTTAGACCAGTAGAATGCTTAGAACAGAGCGAATTATATTGATACTCCGTATTTGTTTTTGCGTGTTTCTTCATATTTTTAAACTCATGGCATGAAAATCAGCATGATTAACCTTGCAAATTCTCATTTTATTTCAGGTTGTTTTGTCATGTGTCGAGAATAGCCCTGCTGCACGTGCTGGTATACATGAAGGAGATGAATTAATAGAAATCAATGGTATGGAATGATCAAACATTCAGGCTAATGATCTTGCCTGCTTTGAGGATCTCATATAAGTAAAACTTACATATGAAAAGGCTGAAAATTCCATGAAGTTATTGTTTTCCTTGTATTTTTCTTCAAGTCTTCTCTAAAAAATTTCTTAATAAGCTAATTATACTGGATTTCAAGTTTTTTTCATAGCACTCCAGTTGCTTTTCAATGTGGAATTATAAATCTTACTAATTTAAAGAATAAAAATCACCTGTATGAGTCTGTCAGGCTTGTCTAACAGTGAACATAGTATAAGAATTTCTTTTCTATCTTTTTTTTTAAAAAAAATTATTTATATAGTTAATTTTTGTCTTTAAAAACTTAAGGAGAGAAGCTTGTTGGAATCGATGGTGAAGCAGCAGCACAGAAATTGAGGGGACGTGCCGGTACAACTGTCACAGTAAAAGTCCATAGTGTAAGCTTTCTGCCATTTCACTTTGATCAGCAAAAACGGTTTCTTGTTCTACAAGAAGATGGCGTATAAGATAAAAATGTAGAGAAATGGATGTCTGAAATCTATTGTGTGCTAAAGATTAATTAGATGAAAACATTGATCTTATGCAGAAAAATTCACATATAATTTTTCAATTTTCTGCGTTTTCCTCCAGGGTAATGTCTCAGGAAGAAATGACCTCAGAGAGGTAAAAAGTCAGTTCTCTATTAGTTAATTGAGAATCCCTACTTTTCCTGTCAGAAGAAACATATATTTAACTGTGCCAACAAACTTCATTGTTTGTTACGATTAACATTCTTGATCTCTTGAAGGTTAAACTACCTCGTGAAGTAATAAAACTTTCGCCTATATCCAGTGCCATCATCACTCATAGGATGTCTGATGGTCGTTTGTCAAAAACCGGATATGTAAAGTTATCGACTTTCTCCCAGGTATCTCCCGAGTCAGAATGGCGATTAGATCTTCCAGGCATTGCGTTAAGAATAACGATTTCATGTCCTAATATGACAGACTGCTGCAGTGGAGATGGAGAACACAGTTCAGGAAATGGAAAATCAGGGTGTACAGTCATACATACTAGATTTGCGGAATAACCCGGCAAGTTCATTTCATCCTTTTCTCATAATATATGGTTTTGGTTTACTCCTTAAACTTGCTCATATAGTATGCTTTCATGCATTTCTCAATTGTTGCAGGGGGGTCTAGTCAAAGCGGGACTTGACATTGCCCAATTATGGCTCGATGGCGATGAGACTCTTGTGAATACTATTGATCGAGATGGTAACATGCAACCCATCAGCATGGTGGATGGTCATGCTGTAACACATGATCCTCTTGTTGTTCTTGTAAGTTTATCTCACACATATTGGTGAAACACGTAAATCTTGTCTTTTTTGACTTTCTGTTATATTTCAAATCTCCACTAGAGTTTCTTTTCATTTTGACTATAATTTGACATTGATACAGGTGAATGAGGGAAGTGCAAGTGCTAGCGAGATTTTGGCAGGGGCCCTCCATGACAATGGTAGAGCAGTTCTCGTTGGGCATAAAACTTTTGGGAAAGGGAAAATACAGGTTTGTTTTTTTGCCAGGAATTATATGTGTTTTGAGTGTTTTTTTAGCAGAACACAGATTGTTGAAGGCTGAAAGTGAATTGTTGAGTTTGTCTCATATATGGATTAGGAATATGAGTTTGTCCATACTAGGAGTAGTAGTGAAACCTATTGTACATGGATTAGATACCTATAAATATATTGGTTGTATCCCTAAGGCGTAGTGTCACCACTATCACCATCACTATGAATATAAGAATTGTTTCACTCCCGTGGATGTAGGCACATTGCCGAACCACGTATATCTTGTCTTCTTTACCCCTTCTGCCATTATTATTGTTTCTTGTTCTTGTTAATCTCAACATGAATTGATTATGTTTGGTGCAGAGTGTTACACAACTGCATGACGGTTCGGCTCTGTTCGTGACGGTGGCGAAGTATCTGTCACCTGCACTTCATGACATTGATCAGGTGGGCATCACACCTGATGTTCAGTGCACAGTTGAGGCCCTGAATTCTCCCAGAGACTTGGAAGCCGATTCTTGCATCATGGTAGCCGAGCGTGAGTTGGATATTGTCTTTAATCTTGTACATCTTTCATAGAAACATACCACCTTGTACAGAACAAACAAGATCAAAACCACTGGAAAGATTCTTGGCATCCGGTCTGCTTAGTTAGAGATGAGGGATCTTTCTGTGTATATGTATAAATGATGACATATAGCATTGGGCAAGCAAATCAAAAGGAATTGAACCATTCTGAAATATAATTCTTTGTTTCATATTGATAATTCCCAAGAATGAATTACATGAAGAGATACAACAGAACCCAAGAAGGGAAAACAAGCAGATGAGAACAAAAAAAATTATGTGAAATTTAATCAGTGGTTGAGAAGAGGAAGGAGGGAGAGGATTAGAGAAGCTCCAGTAAGAGCGGTGGAAACCAGGTGAACAGAGATGGCTGCTCCTTTGTCCATTCCAGGAGTGGGAGAAGGTGAGGGTGACAACCCGGTTTCCTGTGCAGCAGCTACTGCAAAAATCACAGCCAAGAACATACAAATCTTCAAGCAGACAGAGTGTGCCATGATTGGAATTTGGATCGGAGAAGCAGAGAAATCTCAGCTGCAGAGAGTTTGTTCTTTGAAGAAGAGATGATAGATGAGTGAGTGGGGTTCTTGCTTCTGGTGATTTTCCTCAGGTTCAAATGATGAGTATTTATAGGTATTGAGTGAGAGGGGTTGGTGGGAAATTGCCAGGCGGTGTAAGGGTACAACTCAACCAATGACCTGGTTCTGGTCAGCCTGAGATGGAATCCGTCATTGTACATGTTTAATATGTTACTTGCATCATGCGTGATGCTATTGCCGCTGAGTCCTTTGCCAGTTCAAATTTTGTAGGCATGGATAACATATGCCACCTATTTACTAATTTGTATTTTTTAGACATATTTGGACTTCATTACGGAAGCATAGCGTTTAAAGCGGTCACACAACATGAGCACGGTTCAATTTGAGTTTTAAATCAGCGTTTCACGGTTTTAGAAAATGGCAAATTAGAATTTGACGGTTTTGGTTTGAATTGCCCGTTCGAACTTTTTTGTTTCAAAAAAAAAAAATATTTTCTATTTTTAAAATAATTCAAATTCTAACCATTAATTTTTTTAAAAAAATTTCATTCTGAAATTTTGAAAAATGATTATATCAAATATGGAAACTTTAAAGTTAAACTAACAAAATAAAAATAATTTTGCGCTTGCACTTCATTTTACCAATGTTTAAGTTGTATATTATCTTAACGAAATTTTAATAAGAATTGAAGTCCACGTTGCTGTCTTACTTTTTTTTTTTTTTTTTTTTTTTTTTTTTTTTTTTTTTTTTTTTTTTTTTGTATTTTTAAGAGTCATTGGCTTCTTCATCGGTAGTATCGTTTTTTTCCCTAGTTCAATTTCCCTAGGTGACATTGAGTTTGAAACGATAAAATTTAAGGTAATGAAGTGTCACATGGATAGAGTTCGGTGTAGGCTACATCGCGCCCGTGCGGCGTCCTGGGGCCCCTCATACCCTGTCGACCAACCTTACCCTCATACTTACCAAACTGGTTTTGCCGTGTCATGTGGTCATCAGGGGAACAAATATAACTCCTGACCAGTTGTGCCCTTTGAATCGCATTGGTCCCGGTTCAGCATGCCTGACTTGGCTAGACCTCAACTTCTAAGGTAGAACACATTTAAGGCTATTGACGTCTCCTTTACCCATTTGGCAAGCTAACCAGTTGGCACATTCATTCCTTGGTCTTAATATGGTCACGGAAAACACCGAGACATTTTCCCCCACCCAAAATCTAGCACGCCATCGTGCTAGGGGAGAACGCCTCTGCCCAAGGATCGTCGTACTAAATACTGCCTACACCCAAAAAATGACAAGGTGGAGAAGAGAGGGGGGAGAGTTCCTCCTGCAAGAATGGAGATTTTGTCATAAATGTGGGTCCCATTTTTTTTTTTTTAAATTTTGGACCACACCACACAGATGCTGCCAGCCCATTAATAGTCTTTCTTTTTTATTTCTGTTTCCTGCAATTGTCATTATTTTTGCTTTGTTTTTTTTTTTCTTATTTTCTTTTTCTTTTCTCTCCCTCATCTCCATCCTACATGGCTTCTTAATTCTTGTGCAAAAAAAACCAATCTATTGAGGATGCCGAGATAATAAGAGATCCTTCAATGTATATATAACATTTGGCATTGCCACATTGGGCAATCAAGCAAAAGGAACCATTTTGAACTATAATTATTTATTTCATATGGAAATACCCATCCAAGAATGAATTACATGAGATACAACTAACAGTACCCAATCAAGAAGGGGAAACAAAGAAAATAGGAAACCACAAGAAAAAAGTGGAAAACAGAGTTGAATCTCAACTCTCCATTATATATGTGAAATGTTCAGTGGTTGAGAAGAGGAAGGAGGGAGAAGATTATAGATAGTCCAGTAAGAGCAGTGGAAGCCAGCTGCACAGATATGGCTGATCCTTTGTCCATTCCAGGAGTGGGAGAAGGTGAGGGTGACAACCCGGTTTCCTGTGCAGCAGCCACTGCAAAAATCACAGCCAAGAACATACAAATCTTCAAGCAGACAGACAGTGCCATGCTTGGAATTTGGAGAAGCAGAGAAATCTTAACAACAGAGAGTTTGTTCTTTCAAGAAGAGATGATAGATGACTGAGTGTGCTTCTTGCTTCTGATGATTTTTCTGGGGTTCAAATGATGAGTACTTATAGGTATTGAGTGAGAGGGGTTGGTGGTTTGGTGGGAAATTGCCAGGTGGTGTAACTCAAACAATGACCTGGTTGTGGTCAGCCTGAAATGGAATCCATGATTGGACCATGTCTAATATGGGACGGTTGACCTAACCAGCCATGTTACTTGCATCATGCGTCATGCTATTGCCCCCGCCGAGTCCTTTGCCAGTTCAAATTTTGTAGGCATGATTATGTTCAAATCAGATGGTTCAAATTGAACTGTGGCCATTTTTAGGCGACAGTAAGTTTGAAATGATAAAATTTAAGACAGCGATATCACTGACATTTGTGCGCATTTGAAAAAACAATTTGAGATTTTTTTAAAAAAAATTGTAGATATTCATTTAATACATTTATATGAGAATATACAAATAGTTATGATAAATCTTCCAAATGCCCAAAGGAACCTGTTTGATGTGGTAAAATTTAGTAATTTACTCCGTAATATATAGTGTTTGGAGTAGTGTTTTTGCATTTTGTAATGATATCTACATTCCACCATGAGAACAACATCATGGTTAAGTGACTAAGACTCCTTTACGGGAAGCTAAGATGAGTAGTGCATTTTTGGGATAAATTATTATGTAATTCTTGAATGGACAATGCACTAATAATTGATATTCCTTTATTATATTATATGATATGATTTAGGAAATACGAGGGTAAATGTGGATAATAAAAAAGATAATGAGCACATTTGAGAAGTTTTTAAAGCTAAAGTAATGAGGAGAAAATGTTTAAAGCTAATTAGTAACATACACTTTGTAACGCAAGTATACTTGTACACGTGGAGGTAATTGATAAATTCTTTTTGCAATTGTCGCAAAGGTAAGCATGACGATCCAATTTAAGGGAGTGCGTGATTTATTGATATTAGTGCTATCAAACACATCTATACCAACTCTATTTACTACCTTCGAGATCGTCATTTTAGAGATGTGTGAATGAAAATTTCTAGTTAGTCTACAGTTAAGGGTGTGGAAAAGTAGTTTTGAAAATGACCTCAAAGAATGAGCTGACTCTCAACAAGGTAAATAACATGCCAAAAGTACATGTTCAGATTTCTAGTTTATTGTTGAACAAGCATAACTTTAATATGGTGTTTGAGTCTAATAACGTAATTTTGTCTAAGTTAAAGAATGTTTGCAAGGCTTTCAAAAAAGAATGTAAGGGATATGTAACAATTTGTAAGGGATATGTAACAAATCAGTTCTTTAAAAACAGAAAACTCAATGTAATGAATATTAATAATTAATAATAAAAATAATAAGTTTTCTATTTATTTGTTTGATGCTTCTAATTTGTGATATGGTAGACTTAGTCATATTAATTTTAATTATTCGCATAAATTAATAACATACACCTAATTCATACATTTCAAATTCATGACAATCACACGTGAAATTTATGCTAATGCAAATTAAGAAAGAGTCATTTCAAATTTGTTGAAAGGAATATGAAACCATTTGATTTAATGTATAGCAATTTGTGTGATTTAAAAATCATATAAAGAGATGTGGTAATAAATGTTGTATTACTTTTATTAACAATTGTACGCAATCGTACTATGTGAATTTGCTTAAAAGCAAAGATTAAGTCATAGAAAATATAATCAACTTAATAATAAAAATAGAAATAAGGGTCAAATAGGTCATCGAACTGCACACGATAATGCAATTAGGCCACTGAACCTAAAAAATTAATAATTAGGTCCCTAAACTAATCAATTTCAAACAATTCTTCTAATTTATAGGTTTTCAACAAGTTAACAAATCATCCTCTCAAATTAATTATTTTTTAAAAAATAAAATTTAAAAATTAATTATTTAAATAATTAAAAAAAAAAAAAAAACAGAATTCAGCCGATCTGTTTTTTTTTTTTTTTTTTTTTTAAATTAATAATTAATTTTTAAATTTTATTTTTCAAAAAATAATTAATTTGGAAGATGACCCATTGCCCTGTTGGAAACCTTCAAATTGGAAGAATTGTTAGGAATTGATTAGTTTAGGGACTCAATTGTTGACTTTTTGGATTCAGTGGCCTAATTGTATTATCATGTGCAGTTCGATGGCCTATTTGACCCTTATTCCAAAAAAAAAAAAAAAAAAAAAAAAAGGTGAATAGTGTTGGAAAAATAGCATTAAAATGATATTTTGAGTGATTATTTTGTGGTACAAATATATGTGGGATCCACTTCCGATTTGGGTCGGGTCAAGGTGGATTCGGGTTCTTCGTAGTGAGACGAAGAATTTGATATAATGTACGCTCAAAATGGGTAATAGGTGAATGAGAAATTGATTCTCAAAGTGAACCTATTTGAGAGAAGTCAAATTAAGCTTAGAAAGCTTAAAGCTTAAGATTAAGCTTAATTAAGCCTAATTAGTGTGACAACATGAGTTGTCAAGCTTGTGATTAAGCTTTGGAAAGCTTAAAATAGTGAAATAGGAATTGGGACGAAAGTTTGCATGGACGAATGTTATGCATGGACGAAAGATGCTACATGTAATTAAGCAAGTTTAATTAGTGAATTAAGCTCCTTTCGTGTGAGCTATCTTTCGTGCTGCACGAGTCAATGCTATGTGCATTGATTCGTGCCACACCGTTTCGGTACTTTGCGGACCATTCGGGTGTGGTTTTCGGTCCCAATTCGTTAACCTTTCGGGTTTGTACGGACTTCTCGGTCACTCAGATATTTGAAACGGGTCGTTATGGTCGGTACGAATTAATCGGATATTAAGTTCGTGACCGTTGATATTATTTCGATAATAAGTACGACCGTTTCAAACGTTATAATTCAATTTTTAAATTGAATTTATGTTGGTTAATGTGTCATGATGATGCTATTTAGTACCAATCTCCTATATAAAGATGTGGTGGGAGCAACCTTTTTGAACACAATGTTAGAAAGGAAGTGAACGTGAGGGAAGAACAAGAGAGACACAACACACAAAGATAAGCACATTTTCTTCTCAAAACTCTACTCCTACTTCTTTCTAGCTACTGTGTTTTGCCCGTGCTCTAGTTCGCCAGGTTCGTTCGTTTGGGTGCTCAAACGTCGAACCGTTGTACGTTTTATCATGGGAAACCTAGGCCACAACGCTCCTAGCACTTTTGGGAGGTGGCAAATAAGGTTTTAAGGAAAGACATGCACTTTGCCTAACTCGTACATTTCTTTCTTTCTTCTTCTTTCTTGTTTTGGATTATGCTCTAAGCAAAAATCCGTCCTTTCTTGTTGTTTTGGAATTATAATCTAAGGATTATATTTTCTTTTTGGTTGATATATATTGGTATATCTTTTTCGTAGATATACATGTATATATAACCGTTGGGTCCGTTTTATATATATTTGTGTGTATATATATATTTCGGATATATATCCAATAATATTTTATATATATTTCGTGTGTATATATATAAATATTATTTTACGGATATTAAATCGATTTTGGTTCATTATCACCAACAATCTTAAAAGTAATCAATAATGTGGTAAATATGAAACACATATTGGTGATTTTAGTGAGTGTTGTTAAACGTAAGAAAAAAATACATTGAAAAAGGTGATAAATGTGATGATGTAAGTTTAGATGGATTGTTTGTGTTGACTGTTGAGGCAAAATTAACAAGTCCTCTTTTCAAATAAATTGAATAGAACACAAGATTACTTGATTTAATTCATAGCGATATGTGTGATTTAAAAATTATACAAACGAGAGATGCTAATAAATATTTTATTACATTTATTGATGATAACACATGATATTGTTATATATATTTGTTGGTGATAATGAACCACAATCGATTTAATATCCATAAAATAATATTTATATATATACACATGAAATATATATAAAATATTATTGGATATATGCCCGAAATATATATATATACACACAAATATATATAAACGGATCCAAAGGTTATATATACATGTATATCTATGAAAAAGATATACCAATATATATTAACCAAAATTGAAACTAATAATCCTCGGATTATAAGTCCAATCCAACTAATATATCAAAAGAGGGAGAACGGATTTTTGCTTAAAAGCATAATCCAAAACAAGAAAGAAGAAGAAGGAAGAGAGAAATGTACGAGTTAGGCGAGTGCCTTTCTTTCCTTAAAACCTTATTTGCCACCTCCCAAAAGTGCTAGGAGCGTTGTGGCTTCGGTCTCCCAGGATAAAACGTACAACGGTTCGACGTTTGAGCACCCAAACGAACGAACCCGGCGAACGAGAGCACGGGCAAAACACAGCTTCAAGAATGGAGTAGAAGCAGAAGTATTTTGAGGCTTGGAAAAATTATTTTTCTTGTGTGTTCTTGTTACTTTTTCCCTTAGAAAAATTCTGATGCACTCTACCCCTTCTTATATAGGGAATGAGGAGTGAATAGCCTTTATTATGGCATTTAGGGGCATCCCTTCAACTCTTGTAACATCAACCATTAACATGGGTGTTAATTCAAAAATTAATTCCATAACAGCTGAATTAAATCCCAACAGTCACAAAAAAAGTTTTTTATTTCGTGTATATTGTGCACACAGTTTCGGCCATGGTGGCCGAGACTTTGAAACTTAGCAGTTTCAATAGTTTTGGCCAGAAGTTTTGGGATTTGATTTGCACTCTCCCTATGCACAAGAGAGAGTCTCTATGCTATACAATTCAATAAGCTTAACAAGAGCTCATGTATAAATAGTGGGGCAAATCCTCTTTCCAAACCAATGTGGGACAAAAGCTCACTTTTTCCCTTCATTTTCCAACTCAAATGGGTCTACTTTGAGAATCAATATCTCATTCACCCATTATCCGTTTTGAGCGTACAATATATCAATCTCTTCGTCTCACTACGAAGAACCCGAATCCACATTGACCCGACCCAAATTGGAAGTGGACCCCACTGATAATTGTACCACAAAATAGCCACTTAATATGCCATTTTATGCTATTTTTTCCAACAA